AGAGAGAGATAGAGAGAGAGAGAGAGAGAGAGAGAGAGAGAGAGAGAGAGAGAGAGAGAGCAGTCTGATCACTGTTGGTACATTTCTCAGTCTATCGTAACAGATGAAAATCCATCAACAATTGCTTAATTTTCAAAACACAAAAAAAAAAAAAAAAAAAACATTATATCACAACCAATCAGATTCAGCCTTATAATTAAAAGAAGGCGTTACAATTTATTTGTGTAATAACATTCCCGTTGTTCGACAATGTGCTGAAAGTTAGACTGAGCTGAAACTTCTACAAGGGCAACATCATCATCATGTAGCAGGTCCTTTACAGAAAGTCGCTCTCATCACAGTCTGCCTGAAAGAATCTCAGTCTCTCGCCAATTCTCCCGCCTCATGCACTTTCACACTCGAGGAGTCACTTATATCATGTGCCCATCTTCGTGTCGGTCGGCCCCTGCCCTCCTTCCTGGTACCATGCTTTCTGCTATAATTTTTTTTTCCAGTCCATCGTGGCGCTTGATATAACCAAAATATTTCAGCTTTCGAGACATGATGCTGTATATTAGCCAATCTTCCTTGATGTTCTGATCTTTTAAGATGTCAATATTTCTTATCTTCTTTGTCCAAGATATTCTGAGAATCTTTTTATAGCATTTCAGCTCAACAGCCCCTATTCTCTTTCTTAAGGACTGAGAGATAGTCCACGACTCACATCCGTATGTAGCCTCAGGGAAGATGCATGCTCTCAAAATTCTAATTTTTATCTCCTTGCTGGTGCTTAACCATAGACTTTCAAGGCTGTTTAATCTTTACAAGGACAACATGTGTATTAAATAAGATACTTTCTGTAGCAACGATTTTTTACTTCTTCTTTTTTTCTTCTACTTCTTCTTTTTCTTCTTCTTCTTCTTTTCTTTGACCATTTACCTCAGCTAGGTGTTGGGGTAAGGTGAGGAGGGGGGGAGATGTAAGGTTCGTTTATGTCTTCTTGTAGTGAGCACTGCTCGCCTGAGTTCATTGCTGGTTTACGAGCGTTCTTATAGTAAACAATGCGGGCGCCAGTTCGATGTAGGTTTATTAGTCTTCTTGTAGTGAGTATTGCTCGCTCTAGTTCGATGATTGTTCACCAGCCTTCTTTAGTGAGCACTACTCGTCCTAGTTTATTGCCGATTCACCAGTCTTCATGCAGTGAGCACGACTCGCCCCAGTTCTATGTGTTTACCAGTCTTCTTATAGTGAGGACTTCTCGCCCCAGTTCAGTGGAGCTCAAGCCTCAAAAACACAGAAGGAGATAACAGATCCAAACCTGCACAATGAGAGGACACGACCCAGCCGGCCAGATACACACATATAATGGCGGCCAAAAACACACCCTAACAGGGCCTCAGCAACATGTAAATTGCGAACTTCTGCTGCCTCCACCGAAAGTATCTCCCACGCCGCTACGCAGAACAGTCCCAGCCATCTAGTTTAGCCCCTCTCGGCGGTGACGGCAGTTGCTGGAAGTCCGCAATTTAAGTAGCCGAAAATGCTCAATTTACATGTGACTGAGGCCCTGTTAGGGTGTGTTTTTGGCCGCCATAATATGTGCCCGTTATTCTGAGGATAGCCATCCACGCAGCCAGCAGTGGGTTTCGATCGCGGTACGTTAGAATTCCCACAAGTAGAGCTATATCTAAATGCAGGAAGCACGAGCAAAGTACACCGATTTTGTGCTTGCCTGCACTTATGATTGAATGTATGTATGAATATAGATTGTACCCCACCAGCACATCACACAGCGCGAGAAAGACCCAGTGACACAAGGTGGTACCTTGAGGATGAGGATCGCCCGTTGAGAGGTCCCAGAAACCCCGTTCAGCCGTTAGGCCATATCTATGGTCCGGCTATATTTTAGGGCCCCCGGTAAAAGCCAGGCTGTGGCTATAAATAACGAAATGTTGCGTCCCACATGGGTGCGGCATGGTTGAATAATTTTGGTTGAATAATAAACCCACTTAAAACATCTTTTAAAAATTGACGTATTTACATGCTGAACAAACTATGCATACATTCACATGTGAAATGATTTCTGGAGAGGCTGCGTAGTCTCGAGACATGGTGTCCGCCTTGAGTGCTAGAGGTCCTGGGTTCAAACCCCAATAAAGGTTGGGATTTTTTAACGTGGACTTCTAGTAATTTCCTCTGGTCTCTGGGTAGTAAGAGCAGACGCCATTGTGTATTGTTGCGCACGTAAGAATAGACCTACTGCCTCCCCAACAAGCATGTCGTAAAAAGCAGAATAATTGGGGGTTTCCTTTCAAGTCGAAGTGCATCTGCCATAGAGGCAAGGAACCAACAGTCTGCATGCAAATAACAGATCTGTAAAAAATGATGTACAAACAAACAACACTCAGGTTTCGGAACACGTCTCAAGTCTGAGTTTTCAGCCAGTGAGGGTGAAGAAGAAGATTCAGGTATAAATCAATGTTAAATCCTTCATGACCGCCATGTGCATAGATTGCCACTTTTTTCTATGATAAACTTCTAGTGAATCCGATCTGTTCGACAAATGTTTCCTTTTCATGGCAACACCCTGGGATGGTCTCTTCTCCACACAGCAACATCTTGGCATGATCTCTTCTCTACATGGAAACACCTGTATTTTGACAACTATGTCCATGGCAACCTACTTCTGCTGATTTGCCACAAGGATAAACAAGTGCCCGTCCAGCATGAAAGCCCATTTAAGGCTCCTATAATGTGAAGACAAATGAAATATGCAAAGCCAGTGTGTCAAAACTATACTAACTGGTCACAATTAGATTCCATGAAACAATACAATAGCACTTTGTATAAACCCAAAGAGTCCCATCTCTTAGCAAAAATGTGTGGACTCCAGCTGAGAGAACCACAAGTATGTGTGGATGGAGACTTCCTGTTTATTGTGCGTATGGCTCCATCGTCAGGTTTGAATAAATAAGGCTATTATTATGTTACTTTAAAATAAAAATAGATCAATAAATAAAACAAGACAATCAAAACATGAACAAATATTTATTATGTTGTATGCAAACTGTCATAAAACACACCATGCCAACTCAAAGTCATAGAAATCATTGATGAAACAAACAGGATAAAGTAGCATAGTCAAACCAGGGCAGAGGAAAAGAAATCACTGACAAGTTATCCACAACAATCACATCTAGGATCAAGATTGTACAAGCCTGTTTATTCTCAGTTCATAATACAATGCACACAACAGCCATAAATCAGACAGGTGGACACGATAGTGCCATTGCTGGCATCCCTAGCTGTAAAGCTGAAGTTTTATGATCGAGGCAGAAGTTTTGTAACAATTTGTTTTGGCTTTCTAATTTTAATTCCAACTGTGTGAAAAAGTATAAAAAGTTCAACCTGCTGCAAACAACTTTTGCTGCGGGTGGCACTTGTTTATATCATGGTGTGGGTTATTTGTGTGAAGTTTTACTAGCTGAGATTTGTGTAATGTGCCAGGATTAGTGCCTGTGTCCCTATTCAAGAGTGCAACCCATTCCTCTATGTATGAGTTGCATTTTGGTCCTGTTTTGTCTGCTGCTTTTGTTGGTTGTGCCTCCTCTGTTCCTGTTGTGACTGATATTTAATTTTTATCTGGGTGAGGGTTCATTATGTTGACTGCCTGTGTCTCCCAATATGCCGTCCTGAGACGGCTCAATTCCGTTAATGCTCTATGCTAATGACACCAAGCTAGAACCAAGGTTGTCACCTCCACAACATCCTACCGCCACAACACCCTACCAAACCAACATTATTGTTTTAGGTGTCTGAATGCTTAAAGTGCCAAAAGTGCTGAAATCAGTTTATGTTGTTGCATAAAACCAAAAGTTTGAAAAGTCAAATAATTTTTTTATCTGGAGGATATTTTAGTTCTGGGATCGACCAATGCTTAAATGATACCAGGACATGTTCTGGGATACAAATGGCAGACCATCATATTTTCCACATTACCCTCTTAGTGCTAACTGACCTCTGAGAATTTAGTGATAGTATGATATACCCACCATGCATCAAGATGTAGACAAAATGTGTGTCCTCAGATTTGTCTAGCACTGCCTCTCCTGACATGTGCCTTGTGGTATTTGCCTGTTCTCCAACCTAAAAGCTGACACTTAACAGGGCATAATATGCATTATGAGAAGACATATTGAAAGATGACTCTTGGCTGAGCTAAACTTTATTCCCCATAATACCATCCTGAAATGCTTTCAACAATAGTGGGGCATGTAAGCTGTATATGTGTAGTCCTATGGACAGCTACTCTCAAGGGGATTATGATTTACAACCCCCAAGTCAGTCACTGTGTTTCTTTCAGCCATAGGTTTTGATACTTTTGAAGCACATGCCTAGTTTTGTTTCACTGTTTAAAATACACAAATATGGGGTTGAAAAACAAAGTATATAGGTCATATTGATTATAAAACAGTAGTCCTAACTCTGTACAGGGGAAAGCAACAACAACAGCAACTTCTGTAACTAATACAAACATAAGTAGTAATATACAATCAGCAGTTGTGTATCTCTTAAAATTAATGTCAAACTCTCACAAGATGATCAGTTTATTACCAAGAACTTTACACAACTATAGCACTGAGACAATATCAACAAATTAATGTTCCATCTATCAAGATGAAACAACTGTGACTCTGAGACAATCTCATGAAATAACTGTTCTATCTATAGAAGTATTGCCAAATATCTTTATCATGAACAGAATCATAAATTGTTTAAGATAACAAGTGAAGCATATGTTGCAGAACCTCCAAACACTGCCACGCTCAAATACCTTACAGACTGACTGAATTACACAATACAAAACTGAACCAGGTACTAAATACATCACATAAACTAAATATTAAAGGTAACTTCCATTCACAAAAAGCACATCTTCTGGCAAAACAAACTTAAAGTACAGAAACAAAAAAGTCTACATCAATATGTACACACTGTTTTGATGAAACATGCTGCCTTGGTCAGTCATACATCTCGCCGACATTGGGAAATATATCATAGGATACCCGAAAACAGTTCTTCCCTGTATCAGTCTGTGACCCATCTCGACCCAATTTGTATTTGTGGAAACTTCCATCAAGGCAAATTGCTGTAAACCATACAAGGAAACTATGTCAACACTTTCAAACATTATTACCACCATCATATGCTCATATGCTTTTGTCCTTGTCTTTCTAAATTGTGAGTGTGTGTGTGTGTGGGGGGGGGGGGGGGGGGGGGGGGGGGGAGTATGTTTTTTCTATAATTTTCTATTCTGCATGCTTCCTTGATCATCCTCCTTTTACTGTTATTCACAATGTTATCTGGTTCAGTCTGTCACATTATAAGTCAAGATGGTGTGTGGAGTGTTTGACAACAATGAAGACTGTGGGTATTAGTATTAGATGTCAAGAGAGGTAGAACAGTTAAACAAAGAGACATTAACAATAATCTTTCTGTTGCTGACAGCTAGTTTGAAGTTTGAACAGCGGATCAGCATCATGGCACAAGGATAGTAACCCATAACTGCTCCATTCTTCTTTTAACTCAAGTATGAGTCCGAAGATGCTCAGCACAGTGCGTGGGCTCCACAGCACCGGCAAGGATCCTGAAATACTTTAGGTAGATTTTTAATTCCAAATTTTGCCCTGGCAGCGCTGTTAGGCTACACATTTTGATTTCCAACTGCAAAGTTATTTTTTACGTGCGCTACAATAAATACGGGCGTCCGATCTCACTACCCAGAGACCAGGGAAAATTACTAGAAGTGAAAAAATTCCCAGCCCTCACTGGGGCCTGAACCCGGGACCTCTAGGATACACGGCGGACACCATGCCTCGATTGCTGACAGCTAATACCTTGTGTAGGGAGACCTTTGCAGTGTAAAAGCTGATATGTTTTCTGAATGCTACTTCTGTTACTTCCATATATGCTTTCATTGCTCTCTTTTTAATATTCAACAGCATAATGTATTAAACAGTTAAAAACTACAACTTTGTCTTGATGTTTGCTGACTGTGGACTCAGGTGGAAAGTTCAGGCTATTTGTAAACTTCTGGATTTCCGTCTTGTTCCAGATTTTCAGTTTTGCATGCATATCAATTTTACGGATCTGACTTATTTATATGTCGGCATCCGTGGCTTAGGCGTTGCAAACGAGTTTTGTAATGCCGGTGTGCCCGGTTCGATTCCAGCTGTGAACAATTCGTCTTGAGTTGGTTTCGAAAGTGGTATTGAGAGCTGATCATTTAGAAAGCAATGACAAACTACTGAAAGTTAAATGAGTCTAGAAAAACCACAAGAGCCTAAAAATGCTGGTGTTAGTTCTGCAACGTCCTGTAAAGGATAGGAAACTAACTTTATTTATATGCACTGTTAATTCCTTGCCTCTTAGGGAGATGTATTCTGACTTCAATGAAAATACCCGTAATTAGTCAACTTTTACAACATGCTTGCTAGTGGCAGTGGATCTATTCTTGTTTTTCTGCAGACAGGTATGCTCTGTCCATTGTGGCAAACATCGCTTTAAAGGTCCCAGGTAGTTCACCACCTTTAGATATTTTCTCCAGATCAGGATAGCGTGCTTGGAAATAAACAGGTGGATAGACTGGCAGATTCTGCACCATTTGGTGGTAAACTTATGCATAACAAACTAGATGCCATAATGATCCTTTGGGAGTGGATGAACAGTGTAGAGGTACAAAGTGATTACCTCTGTCTGGGGAAAATGGCCCTGTGAGGATTGATGACAGGATTTGGCTGATGCTCAACACTCAAGGGAAAGGCGAGACGGATAAACACACTCAAGGGAAAGGGGAGATGGATTAACACAACACTCAAGGGAAAGGCGAAATGGATAAACACAACACTCAAGGGAAAGGCTAGACAGATAAACACAACATTCAAGGTAAAGGCCAGACGGATAAACACAACACTCAAGGGAAAGGCGAGACAGATAAACACAACACTCAAGGGAAAGGCAAGACAGATAAACACAACACTCAAGGGAAAGGCAAGACAGATAAACACAACACTCAAGGGAAAGGCGAGATGGATAAACACAACACTCAAGGGAAAGGCAAGACAGATAAACACAACACTCAAGGGAAAGGTGAGACGGATAAACACAACACTCAAGGGAAAGGTGAGATGGATAAACGATCAGACTGTTATTGATACCATTGAAACTGCAAATCTGCACTTGCGGCTGAAGATGGGGATGGAGTGCTTATGGGGATGTTCTGAGTGCTTTGATGTTGACTGCTAGTTCAAGATTCAACTGAAATAGCTCACAGTTTGTGTAGGACCACTGTTGGAGACAATCAGTAATAGCTGTGACACTTACCGTACATGGCATCCCCAGCACCAAATGTGCACAAGCAGGCACACTCGGCGGTAACTGTAAACGATGCATATGATTTAATTTCACTGGGCAACCCAACCAGAGGCTTCAGTCTGAAATAGAAAATTCAATGCTTGACACAGAGGACAGTGCAAGAGAGAAATTAAAGACTGATACTGAGGACACTAAAGTAGATAAAACAAAGACCGAAACAGGACAGTGAAGTCTAAAAAAAGAGGACACTGAAGTAGATAAACCAGAGAATGACACAGAGGACAGCAAAGAAGATTAACCAAAGAGGAAATTAGGGACACTGAAGTAGATAAACCAAAGACTGACATAGGGGACAGTGAAGTAGATAAACGAAAGACTGAAACAGAGGACAGTGAAGTAGATAAACCAAAGACTGAAACAGAGAACAGTGAAGTAGATAAACCAAAGACTGAAACAGAGGACAGTGAAGTAGATAAACCAAAAACTGAAACATCGGATAGTGATGCAGATAAATCAAATACTGACATCGAGGACGTCGATCAAAGTCTGAAACAGACAGTGAAGTAGATAAACAGAGGACATCAACCAAAGACTGACATACAGGATGGTGAAATAGATCATTTGTTCCCAATTAGCTAAGACCAATGAACTATTCTTACTTTCAAAGTCTACAATAGACCCTAAACTTTTTTTTTTTAATAGTCATACTAAAGAACTTATTAATTTATAAATATCAGAATCACGAAAAGCATTGCATTTTAAACTTGATGGTGGTTTCTAAATGGTACAAGGGAAAGTAAATAAGTAAGTCATAAATGGTTGTTTAAAAAATAATAAATAAGAAAAATACTACAACTTAACATTTATTTTTACACATATACTATATGTACTTTTTATTTTTCAACATTATTTCTTCCAACACTGATGTACTTGTCCCATTGTTTTATCAGTCCTCCCAAACCTGCTGCATAGAACTGCGCGCTGTTTTCGAAACCACATTTTCACTTCACATTGAACTTCTGCGTCATTCGCAAAATGTTTCCCGCAAGGTGGGTTTTCAGTGGACCATTATGTTGTATGCTGAACCATGTGAGCACCCTACTGCAGCTGCTACAGAGTTAACTGTTACTCGCCTGTCACCTCTTATCGTCCTCTCTACCCGCTGCACAGATGTTTGTTGTAATCTCAACAGGACGACCAGATCAGATCTCTTTTAGTGTCCTTGAGAAAATCTATTTAACCCAGCTATGCACCGTTTTATGGAATAAACATTTGTCAACATAAACAGGAAGCACTTCCTCATGAATGACCTTTGCAGGCAGCCCTTTTGCCCCAACCCCCTCAAAAATGCTTAACAGCACGCTGTTCTTTGAGGTTGAACTCCATAAGTCCAGTCACAGTGTTGTTGCTGTGTTGCGAATGGGCATGCAACACAAAGTGCCACCTACTGAACAGAGACATAAAGTTCGATGTTACTGTCACCTAATGACACCTTTAGAGACCATCAACTACATTTTAACACCATACCATAACCATTTGTGACTTAATTATTGTAATTATTGATTTATCGTATCAAGGACGCCTTAAATTGGTTACGTGGGCCAGCAAATGGAAAATACTGCACACATACAAATCAACACCTGATGCAGTGGACAGATCAACTGATGAAACAAGGATTGACACAGGAAACAGTACAGCACAAAAATCACACCCGACACAGGGAACAGTGCAAAAGATCAAATGAAGACTGATTAAGGGGACAATACAGCTGATAAAACAAGAATTAACACAGGGCAGTACAACAGATTTAAAAAAAAAAAAGAACTATTAAAGGGGACACTGAATGGTAGAACAGATATATCAAGACTTAACACAATGGACAGTTCAATTAATAAATGACAGTATGCTCGTTAATTAAAAAGGGGGCACATGTGATTGTCTAGTTTTTATGTGCATCAATGTGAATTGCATGAACAAGTTGCTGTGTTTGTCCAGCCAGACATTCCTATACTAGTAGGACAAGTTTATGATGTGTTTGTTCAACAAAACAATCCTGAACCAGTGGAACAAGTTGTTGAGTTTGTTCAACAAAACAAAACCTGAACCAGTGGAACAAGTTGCTGAGTTTGTTCAACAAAACAATCCTGTACCAATGAGACAAGTTGCTGTGTTTGTCCAGCCAGACATTCCTATACTAGTAGGACAAGTTTATGTGTTTGTTCAGCAACACAATCTTGTACCAGTGAGACAAGCTGATGTGTTTGTTTAACAAAACAATCCTGTACCAATCAGACAAGTTGCTGAGTTTGTTCAAGACAATCCTGTATTACTGGGATAAATTGCTGTGTTTGTTCAGCAAGATAATCCTGTACCTGTGAGACAAGTTGCTGTGTTTTTTTAGCAAGACAATCCTGTACTAGTGGGACAAATTGCTGAGTTTCTTACTCAAGACAATCCTGTACAAGTGGGACAAGATGCTGACTTTGACCAGCAAGACAATCCTATGCAAGTGGGACAAGGCTAATGGCTGAGTGACTGAAATGCTAATCACAAAGTTACACAGAGCTAATCAGAATTGTCAGACAGTAATGATGGAACTCATGAGAACTCACTTAAGCATCAAAGACATCACAACAACAAAACAAGCAAGAAATAAAGAAGACAAGATAATAAATTATCAAAGTATTAAATAACTTAATGCTACTATTTCAAAGGTTAGGATGAACTCTGTCCACATTCCATAATTGTGAGTTCAAGCTGCTAATGATGACACTTTTTATAGGGGTATCTAGGTGGTCATGCACCTTAGAATACTCATCCTGGAGCAAGGCAATTTCACCATTTAGGGGTGACAGGTTCCATTCTCAGCATGGTAACTACAGCTTTTGCTTTTTATGATGTCTAGTGTGTCCTTTCTGCTTTTTTGTGTGAGTGCTGACAATACATATCTGTTTATTATAGAGAATAAATGTTAAAACACATGCTAAGTAGATGGACTCATATAAAAAGTTAGAAACAATTTCATCTGAATTTCTTTTTTTGTGTGTTGGTTTATTCAGTCACATTTTGCGCGACTCATGGGATCACAGCAATTCTAGGCTGGTTCCAGTGTTAGGGAAACAGGAGATTTGAAATATAACATCCAGAGAAGACAAACTTACGTGGAGATGGGGTTCATTTCAGGATCTTTCAATGACCAGACGTGGACTGTGCCCTTGTCACTTGAACAAGACAAAAGGCTACTGTCTTTGCTGAAGTTCAAACTAGGGGAAAAACAACACAAAAACAGTAATATCTCTCTGGTTACATATGACATCAGAATACAGACAACTGGCAGACATATCTTCGGGGTTCATTTCAGTATCTTTCAACGACCAGACATGGACTGTGTCCTTGTCACTTGAACAAGTCAGAAAGCTACTGCTTTTGCTGAAGTTCAAACAAAACCACAAAAACAACAATATCTCTCTGGTTACGTTGACATCAGGATACAGACAATGGGCAGACATATCTTTTCTGTAAACATAATTTACTAGACAAGACAAGATGACTTCTTGTTTTTGTGACTTATCCATCAACGGTCATCCAAGAAGTAAAGATGGCATGTTTATGTTCAATAAATTGATTCAGACAGTAACCTTTTCACCCCTGAAATGCTTTTGTGAAACCTAAAACAAAAGGAAGCCACAATATCATAGTGGCTAGGTGCTCACTTGCTAGTCCAAAGGTCCTAGGTTTAAATCTGCAGTCTGTTTTTGTTTGCTGAAAACTGACCTTGGCTCTCAGGTCAACCAGCCTAAAATTGCTATCAGGTAAAATCCTGGGAAATAAAGGTGGCCAGCATGATGTAGATCACCGCCCCCACTGAGTGCTGATTGGTCTATACAAATATGAGTCTAATATCAATCATAACTGATGCATCAATGGACTAAAAAGGGTTGTTTGCTTCTCACCGAAAACACATGATTTCCTACAGCGGATAGCAACTAGCAGAGAGTAAGGCTCCTAAGTTGGTACTGTTTTTTTAAATTTCTTTAAGAGCATTTCATTGTCAACATACTTCAACTGAATGCTCAGAGCTGACTACAAGCAATCAACTGACACTTAAACATCTGACTCACCAGTAAATATTTGCCTTGTCCAATCCTCTGCGAAGTTTGATTTTTGCCTTGGTTAACAGGTTCACAAGATGGATGTTAGTACCCTAAAGTGAAGTTATAAATAACTAATAAACAAAAGTGCCAAATAAAGTAAAACAGTTCAGTAAAGTTATATGTGTTCATGTGCTGTAAGTCTAATGAAAAGGAAATTCCATAAAACATCAACAACATATGATTATGTGCCAGGGCTGGTCATGATACTCCTAATCATTCCATTTTACGGTAGGAAACAATGAATTCCCACGGTGAATTTAAATATTACAGACACAAATACTAAACTGCACAATTTTTTGCCTGGCAATTGTAAAATTAGCACCCGAGTCCTGGAAGTAAAGGTGGCCCGCGTGATCTTGATTGCATCACTCATTGAGAGCCTAGTGATCCATAAAAGTACGCTTGATGTATGCCCCATGCGAATAGCATCACTTTGCTGTACATCATCAGGTGCAATACTACAGACTACTACATTTTCTACAGTAGTTGTCGGTTTTGTGAGACCACCATTATATATGCATGTCTGTGTTGCGAGATTGGTGCATGTTACTTTTCTTAGTTGTATTAAAACTGTTGGTTCCTCGCCTCTCTGGTAATGCACCCTGACAAGAAGGAAAGTTAGGTTAGTTGCATATCCTTTACAGGACATTGCAGAATCAACCCCAACAGTTTTAGGCTGTTGTGGTTTTTCTAGGCAAATTTATGCCCCATAGTTTGCCATTGCTTTCTGGACAGTCGGCTTCTCGATACCACTATTTAAACCAATATAAGGCACAAGGCTCAAGCTGGGATCGAACCAGGCACTCTGGCCTTACGAAGCACATTTGCAAAGCCTAAGTCATTGACATCGAAGACTGGAAGGAAAATACGAAGAATTAAAGTTCACACATTTACCAAGGTTCAGTTAAAATATATTGTATTAACCAACACATGCAAATACTTTTATATTCAAATGCTAGCAAAACTAATGGCTGGAAAAAAAAATTTTTTATACGTAAACATCGGCCCTTGTCAAAAGGCAATGTGACACAAAGCTCAGTGGCTTTTTTTTATGGGTTGAAGTCACAAACCTACCTGAGTACTGGCAGTGGCCACCCATTCCCCATCAAGGCTGATGGCTGCACAAACAATGTCATTGCCATGAGCTTGCATGATCATCTGTGGCTTGCTCTCCTGTGCTGCGTCCACTTTGGCCAGGTCCTAGAAAAAAATGAATGTCATAATATTAACCATGTATCAATTAATATAAAAGTCAAGCAACAACCTGAATGTGTCAGTAAAGTTATAGGAAAAATATGTCAGGTTAATATTTGTAGTAATTAAATGGTGTCGTAAAAGACCTTATGGTTAATATATCTCTTTCCCGTGTGGGTATTGGGGCCCTATTGTGGGGAAAACAAGATTAGATCCACTGCTTTCCCAGCAAAGATTGTCCTTGGAGCTGACTAACTTGGGACTTCGGAGTCAGAGTGCATCTGCCTGATCGGTAGGAAACAACTAACTGCACACAAATAAGCCAGTAAAACGGATGTACACACAAAACTCAGGCCCTGGCAGAAAGCAAAAGTCACTATGGACAAACAACTAGGACTTTCCGCTGGAGCTTACAGGCAGTGAATAAAGAAGAAGAAATAAGAAGGATATATTTTCAGAAAACCCTTAAGACAATTTAAACAGCAAGCAGAACAAACTGAAATGGACTGACTGCTACTCAGTTCTGCAGATAAAAGAAATGGTGACAAGAGGACACACTAGACAACATAAACACTGAAAGCAAGTTATCATACTATTGGCTGAACCTGTCATTTTCAGATAGTGATGGTGCCACATTGTGTGCACTTCGATGCATGGCCAACTAGACACTTCAAAAATGTGTCATCATTTGCAATATATATAATAAAACTGACCCAATAATTTTGGAATTTGAATTAAAATCCATCTACCCCAATCAAATAGCACCATAATTTACAGAAATGTATATTACTTAAGTATAGGTCAATTAACAAATACATCACATGCAATAAAAGAGAACCAACAAATCAGGTCTTTTCTATATGAGTTCTAAGTTGTAAACAAGTCACATAATTATATGCTGAAGTGTTTAAATAGCACTATCATCATCATTGCGTGCCCTGCCAACTGGCATAGGCACTCATGTATTTCCACAGATCACGATCCTAGGTTGCCTGGAACAGCTCTCCTGAAGATATCCCTCCATGCCATTGTTTCAGCCCATCATCTCTCTTGGTCTGCATCTAACCCTCTTTCCACTGAACTTTCCAGTTGTCACAATGTTTTCCAAAGCCTCTCTTTTCATTATGAGGCAAAAGAACTGTGTTTGTCTCCTTCTTATTGTTGAATATAGAGATCTACTTTCTTAAGCTTCTTTCAAACACTTGTTGTTACTTACTCTGGCCATCCAAGGTATTTGTAACATTCATCTCAGAAACCACATCTCTTTTGCTTCTAAATTCCTGTTAATTTGTTCACTGACATTCCAAGATTCGCTGCCATACAGCACAACAGGTTTTATGTAACATTTTAGTTTTGATTAAATATTTTTCCTTCCATTGAGATATCACAATGTGGTGTTATCTTCTTCTTTGATATAACCATTACTTCCGGGTTTTTTAAATATTCAAGGTATACTCTCCATCCCCATAATATCCAGCAGTTGTAAATCAGTTGAGTTTTCAGTTATCAAAATTGTATCATCTGCATAACACAAATTTTTTATATTGTATCTCTTATTCCTGCTTTTTCTTTAATTTCCCTCAAAATTAATTCACTACATCTTCTTATAATTCTAAGTAGTTTTATTTACTTATAGGTTATATAAATTTATATTAATTCAGTTTTTTTTTTAATTTTAAAAAAATATTATAATGACCAAGTTTAGGTGAAATAACAAAACACGTACATTCTGTTGAGCAGAAAATTGTAAATTGTGAAGCTGAAAAAAGGGTTCAAAACATGACACCTGTGCCCTACGTAAATGTACTCTGTTCATTATATTCATATATGTGATTCTGCCAAAGTTCAACCACTGATTCAAGACAATTCTTACCAAGGGGAGGTGACTACATATACAGGTAGCTCTGTGTTGAGAGGCAAAAGAAGTGCATAGGGGTTCATAGCAAAAGCAAATGGGCATCATTTAGTGCAACCATGCCTGGCATATAATACCACATCTTGTCTGAGAATGGAGGTGGAGGTAGTCACTGCAACCCTCCACTGGCTTTAGAACCAGCTACACACACATATCATAACTGTAACGACAAACTCACAGAGCAGATTAAGAAAGGTGGAGGCAGGAATGCTTAATGCAGAGTGGCTAGCATTGCTTTAGAGGTCCTTGGTAGTTGATGTCCTTTAGATATTTTCACAAGGGTATTCATGTGTGTAGGGAAATAAACATTCAGACATGCTGGTTGGTTCTGGACCACTTGCTGGTAAACTGATGCATGATAAACTATATGTAGTGACAGTCCACTGGGAACGAGTGAACAGTGAAGTGGCACACTTAGACCATCAGAGTCTACAGAAAAACTGTGCAGTGGAGAGTTACCAGGCAATCTGGCCAATACTCAAAATTCAGGGGGAAGGAGACACACACACAATCAGACTGCTACTGGTAAAATTAGAACTGGAAATCTGTACTGGCGACTAAGACGAGGACGGGTCACTTATGGGAATGTCCTGAGTATTATGATGTTGGTTCTTAGCTTAACTCAACACAAATGTTATTACTATTGGTATACAGACATCAACACAGTAGAAGAGACATGAATACAGTAGAAGATAAATCAGCTGATTTAGAAGAGACATCAACACAGTAGAAGAGACATCAACACAGTAGAAGAGACATCAACACAGTAGAAGAGACATCTACACAGTAGAAGAGACATCAACACAGTAGAAGAGACATCAACACAGTAGAGGATACATCAACACAGTAGAAGAGACATCAACACAGTAGAAGAGACATCAACACAGTAGAAGAGACAACAACACAGTAGAAGAGACATCAGCTGATTTAGAAGAGACATCAACACAGTAGAAGAGACACCAATACAGTAGAGGATACATCAACACAGTAGAAGAGACATCAACACAGTAGAAGAGACATCAACACAGTAGAAGAGACATCAATACAGTAGAGGATACATCAACGCAGTAGAAGAGACACCAATACAGTAGAAGAGACATCAACACAGTAGAAGAGACATCAACACAGTAGAAGAGACATCAACACAGTAGAAGAGACATCAACACAGTAGAAGAGACATCAGCTGATTTAGAAGAGACATCAACACAGTAGAAGAGACATCAACACAGTAGAAGAGACATCAACACCTGCAGAAGAGACAACACAGTAGAGGATACATCAACACAGTAGAAGAGACAACAACACAGTAGAAGAGACATCAACACAGTAGAAGAGACATCAACACAGTAGAAGAGACATCAACACAGTAGAAGAGACAACAACACAGTAGAAGAGACAACAACACAGTAGAAGAGACAACAACACAGTAGAAGAGACAACAACACAGTAGAAGAGACATCAACACAGTAGAAGAGACAACAACACAGTAGAAGAGACATCAACACAGTAGAAGAGACATCAGCTGATTTAGAAGAGACATCAACACAGCAGAAGAGACATCAACAGAGTAGAAGATAAATCAGCTGATTTAGGACAGACATCAACACAGTAGAAGAGACATCAACACAGTAGAATTCATCTGGACAGTAGAAGAGACATTACCTGATTTAGAATAGACATTAACACAGTAGAAGAGAAATCAACACTCTAGAAGAGACATCAACACTCTAGAAGAGACATCAACACTCTAGAAGAGAACATACTTCAATCTGAATGCTGCCTCTGCTCTTCTTGGCGGGAAGGATGATCTTGCCAGCAATGTGGGAAACTGCACACACAGCTGCATGAACATACACAAGATACCTGGTTATGGTAGTGACACACATCAATTATATCTCAGTAAGACAATATTATATTCCAGAATTTGTCTGATTTCAAGGACTTTGACAGCTTACATAGAATTTCAGTATAGAGAATTTTGTAATGCTCTGGCATTCCTGCCAAAATTATCCACCTCATTAGAAATTTTTTGCACTGAAAATTAAGTGACTAGTTGTTGGTAGAAACTAGAGTAAAACAAGGCTACATTCTATCTCTTGTTGTTCAGAGTAGCCACTATCTGGGTAATGAAATTAGGTTGCAAAGTTAAATGCATCTGAAAATAAATGTCAGAGTAAAATCATGAACATAACATTGGATGTATTTTAAAAACATGAGGGGATAAGAAAAATGTCTCAGCACATACGTGTACCGACTGCAATCAGGCAAAGATGGTGAAGATATAGTAGGCACATTCTGAGACAAAATGAGCACAGAATTACAAAACAAGCACTAAAATGGGAAACAAACGGCCTGAAAAAGAGGACCTTTGAGCAAAACATTAAGAACACTATTACGAGAAGCTAAAAAAGGTTGGGCTGAACTCACTGTCTAAAATTCAAAAGAGTTGCATGCAATAGAGCGGAGTGGAGGAATTCAATGCGAGCCCTATGTGACTTCTAGCGTACAAAAAGGATGATGATGATGACAATACTTTACTAGGACATCAACATATGTGAAATATTTATCTCCATAAAGAAAAAATTGTATGGCTTTGACAGATTTATAGCGGACATCAGGGTAGAAAATATTATGAAACACTGATATTTTTCTATGTCATCTAAGGCACTGATTATTTTTAAGGCACTGACTTAGTTATATATCTTAGGAACTAACTATTTATTTTGTCTAAGGCACTGACATATATATAATATATATAAGGCACAGACATATTTGTCATATACTTAAGGCACTGAAATATAGTAATATATCTAAGGCACTGACATGTTTATTAATGTCTAAGGCACTGACACATCTGTAAAATTTCTATGACACTGACATTTTTGAAATATACCTAAGGCACTGATATATAAGTAATATATCTGAGGCACTGACATTTAGGTAATATATAAGGTACTGACATATGTTTATTATATCCTGATGAAAAAGAAATTAAATTGTAGCTCTGATGTGTCCAAGCTCAGCGAATGAAATTTTTAAAATAATATTTCACACACAAAAATTTTTTTGTATATATATATCATTATGTAGCAGGTCCTTTGCAGAATGTCGCTCTCATCATGGTCTGCCTGAAAGAAACTCGGTCTCTCGCCAGCTCTCCCACCTCATGCACTTTGATACTCAAGGAGTCACTTTTATCCTGTGCCTATCTTCGTGCTAGTCGGCCCCTGCCCTTCCTTCCTTGTACCATGCTTTCTGCTAAAAAAGTTTTCAATCCGTCGTGGCGGTTGATATGACCAAAATATTTCAGCTTCTGAGACAGGATGTTGTTTATTATCCAATCTTCCTTGATGTTCAGATCTTTCAAGATGTCAGTATTTCTCCTCTTTTTCGTCCAAGATATTCTGAGAATCTATCTATAGCATTCAGCTCAAAAGCCACTATTCTCTTTCTTAAGGACTGAGATATAGTCCATGACTCACATCCGTATGTTGCTACAGGGAAGATGCATGCTCTCAAAATTCTAATTTTGATCTCCTTGCTGGTGCTTAACCATAGACTTTTTAGGCTGTTTAATCTTTGCATTGTTATGGCCATCCTTCTTTTAATTTCTGTCAAACAGTCTCCACTGCTAGTTATTATAGAGCCTAGATATTCAAAGTTTGTGACATTTTCAATTTCTTCACCATTAATTGTTATTTTTGGGTGTCTTTAGAGCAGTGACAGAGTTTTCTGTTGTAGTACCGTTGGGCTTAAGACCGTCATCACAACTACCCTTACTTGCTCTGCCATCGTTCTCTTCCCCAGTTCATGTTTGTGATCTGCCTGGCTGCAGTTGGGGTTTTCCCTTCACTGAGTCTTGAGACCAGAATGGCATTTCCCAAAACTCTCCAGTACTTTCAGAGGACTGTTGTATATTACTGTAAAAAATTACATAAAATGACACTGACAGAACTATTTTACAAATGTAATGTTTCCGATCAGAAACAATAAACCTGAGGATCTGCAATTTTACCTCTCTGCAATCTGTCCACTGTCATCCAGAAATCTATCAATTTTTTGTATTCACAATTTAAATTACAACTGAAACAAACATTAAATAACTTTTAGACTGTGTGAATCAATCAAGTTAAAGCATGTCCTACCATTTGGGTTGTCTCTGGTCTCAATTTCTGCTAGCGTCTCACCGTAGGGAAAAGCCAACAAAATAACACGACTTCGTAATATGACCAGCAGTCTGCAAACACAAGGATAGAAAACAATATTATGAAGACAGCAGCATATGAAAATATATACTGTATTTCTTTTTAGTGCACAAAGATCCCCTAGCTTGCTGATTGGGGCAGAGCACTTTGTCTCTTTACAGTTCTCCTTGTTCTGCATTATTTATCAATTCGATTGCTGACATATTTCAGTTTCGGGGACAATACAACCTGCTAGCAAAAACACCGAGACCAACAAAAAAAAAAACAATTACTAATAAACTACCAACATTAACTGGTGCAAGTGTATAACAGAGAAATTGAAATGGTATGAAAAAAATAATTACTGTGGAATTTAGGAAGAGAACTAGACAGATTCTAATAAATGAACAATTGAAGAAAAGATACTTTTACTAGAGAATACACACTGAGATAAAAAATACTATACCAAAAAAGTGCTTTATCTGGAGTTCACTGGACAATAGAAATAGTGGACAGCTTAAAACAGAAAGGAAATTGTTAGATGAATGAATAATATGAGAAGGACATGTCAAAAGCTATGTGAGAAACCAAAAGATAGGACAGTCTGGTGTGCACTGTGAGAAGATCTAGGCTTCAAAGGGGAATAAAGGACAGAAGTGGATAACAACTTTTACAGAGTATTTGGGTCTTTCTGTTTAAAAAATGCCCAGGAAATAAATGAATGTTTTATTCTGGTCTCTGTATGCATGTTTCTGGAATTCTTTAACCTATGTTAAACAATTTCATTACTATTATGACTACCAGCTACATCCTGAATATTGTTGACTTTTTTCTATATTTCTGTAATCATATTCTACTTCTGCAGCTCTGAACTGGACAGCATAAAACAGTTACAAGAGGAATTATTGTGTTTGATTCTCAGTCGGCATTGCGGAAGGTTCAAAATGGACTAATGTAGCATGAGTGGATATCATGCATTAGTATGCCAAAACTGCAGCGAATCACTTGGATATACCGTCCGTGATATGCAGGAGTGCGAGGGAATGAAAGAGAAGATTTGTTGGCTAAACAAGCAAAAGCTACAGGAACACTGATACTGGACAAGGGAGATATTCTGAAGACCATATATGAATTTCTGCTGACAGTAGACACAAGATTAGATGAAAAAACGTGCAAAAATGTGTGAACGAGGATTTCAGTGTGGATCTGGCAAGGAGGGACAGATAGGAGGAAGAAGAAACTGTGTGTATAATCAGTGTGCTTTGGTAACAGTTAGCATGTACACCTTAGGACATTTGCTGTGGGAGACGGAGCATCTATGGGTATGCCTGGTGTGCTTTGATGTTGATTCTTAAATCAGTAATCAGTATCCTGAGTTTTATGATAGTTAATTCAAATTCATGATGATATGGATTCCGGACTCCCCGGTCAGCCCAGCCTAAAAATGGACACGAGAAAATACCATAGAAGATAGTGGGATCTACCAAGAATCTTTATCAAGCATGACCCAGGTGACAACTGCTGCTTCCAGAGCACTAGCACTAGCCACTAACTGCATCAAACTCCACAGACATGCTTCACAAACATCACAACAAGTACTTTTTCAATAGGTAGAAAGCAACAACAAAATTACACTCAACCTCCCCTTACTCAGATCTGCACACCTGGTCATGCAAGCTTAAAAGGTAATGAGCAAGCAGACCAACTCGAGAGCAATGCAGCAATGAATTCGGGAAGAAGCATAAACAGAGCAGATATCATTAACAATCTAGAGACTAGGCTAGTTGATAATGACTAGCCTCTTGACACTTAACACGATTGTGTGATGTTGGAGGGAAAACATGGCAAAGCATGTCTATGTCACCTTTGAGGCCAAGATAGGAGACATTATAACCAACTCCTCATAGAAACAATCAACAGAGGTTCTTTGAGTGGCTGATGCATCAGAGGACTGGGCATGAGAATACCCAATGTGCAGTGACAGTTATTGTGATAACATAATATAACCATGGAAAATATCATTAGAAGTAAAAATGGCAGGCATGACAGTCATCTCACCTGCCACAGAGTGCAGATGCGTAAATAAAATCTGGCACTAGAACCATCTTCCAATGTGCCTGCAGACATGTCAACTGTATTTGATTGTATACAACACACTGATGTGCTCAACAAGGGGAAGCAACTGAGCACATTTCCAGGAAACATTTATGGTGAAAGTCATAAACTCATTAGAAAAATTAGACTTAGGCGGCCAGTGTGTTTCAGATTTGACTTAGGCAGCCAGTAGAGACTTTCATGAAGTTACAGATGCGAGAGTTATACCAAACTTGAGTTTAGATACAGATCATAGGAAGGTGATACTTGACAGAAAAGTCAAGATAAGTTATCAAACAAAATAAAAATGTAATAAAAGTGGCATAATAAAATGGAAAGAACTAGAGTGTGAGGAAAATAGGCGAACGTTTCAGTAAAAATTACAGGAAAATTATGAACAGCTTCCACAAAACACACTTGGGGTAAATACAGAATGGTTGAATTTCAGAGACACCAGTATGAAAATAGCACAAGAAATATGTGGAACTAAAAGGAAAGGGAACATAGGGAATAAGCTCTCAACATGGTGGTCTGAAGAAATAAGAAGAATTGTGAGCAATAAAAAGAAAGCTTATGGCATTTGGCTGAGGAGCAGAACAGAAGAGGATTACATAACATACAGGATAATTAGAAGAGAAGTAAATAGAACTATCAGACAAGCAAAAAGAGATTCATGGGAAAAGTTTGGAAGCAAGCTGGCTGAAGAAGAAAGAACAGCAGTGAAAAACTACTACAAAAAATTCAAAGGCACGAGAAACAGGAATGACGAATACAACCCAACAGAAATTACAAATGATGAAGTTGGCCAACCTTTAATAGAACCTACCAAAATTTTAGCAAGCTTGAGTAATTACTTTGATGCCTTACTTAGCTGCAATAAAACAGATAAAAGCAGAGAAGAACATAAAAACAACTCGGAACTAACAGCAGAGGAACTAGAACCAGGTATATTATTGGATGAAGTAAAATATGTCATTCGAACCGCCCTTAGACTAAAGGCGACATGTATTGATGATCTACCAGCTGAGGCCATCAAGGCAGAAGGAGAAACGTGAGCAATATGGTTAAAGATAATATTTCAGGTGGCATGGGAAAATCAAGAAATACCATCAGATTGGCAGACTGCTGTCATTATCCCGCTGTGGAAAAATAAAGGAAGTAAGAGGGAATGTACTTATTACAGAAGAATATCATTTCTCAGTCACACTGGGAAAATGTATGCTAAGATCATCGAAAAAAAGGCTGAGACCATTGATAAAGTATCAACTTTCAGAAGCACAGATGGGCTTTCGACGAGACAGAAGTTGCATAGATGTCATTTATACATTGAGACAACTATCAGAGAGGGCAATAGAACATGATAAGACATGTTTGTTGACATTCATAGACCCAAAAAAAGCCTTCGATAGAGTCGACAGGAATATGTTGTGGGAATGTATAGGAAAAAAAGGAATCAGCAATCATCTCATTAATATTTGCAAAAGCCTGTACACACATAGTAAATGCTGCATAAGATCGAAGGCAGGGTTGTCAAGAACTTTTATAGTGAACTCTGGTATGCGTCAGGGCTGTGTACTATTGCCGCTTCTTTTTATAATGTAGTGAAACTAACTTTAATCATGAAGAAGATATTACAGAATTACTCTTCGCCGACGACCAGGTACTCATAGCAAAAAATACGGAATGCCTACAGAACAACTTAAATCAAATTAGTAACAAAGGGGAGGTATATAATATGAAAATAAACACTATGAAGACAGAGACAATGATGACATAAAGACAATTTAGAAATTAAATTAAAAAACAACACCCTGAGACAAACAGAGGAATTTAAGTATTTGGGAGAAATTTTTACTTCAGACGGAAAACTGGACAGAGAAATTAGCTCCAGGTGTGCCAAAGCTAATCAAGTAATTGGTCAACAATCTCCCCTGTTGACACACAAGCAGATACCTCAGAGTACTAAAGTGAATCTTATCAGAACTATTTTTTGGCCAATACTATGCTATCAATGCCAAACATGGACACTTACATCCTCCAATGAAAATAAAATTGTGACAACAGAGATTAAATGCCTTAGAAGAGCTGCAGGAGTTTCAAGGAAAGACAGAATACGAAATCATGAAATCAGACGAATGCTAGGAATAAAGCCAGTCTTACAGGTCATCAAAGAACAACAGATGAAGTGGTTTGGACACCTAACAAGAATGCCCTGGTACTATCCGCCACAGCGAGCCACACTAAAACGTTACAACGTGTATAGAGCGAGTGGAAGACCTCGGAAAATATGGAGTGATGGCAATAAGAACAGCCTTACAGAAATGAACATCAGACTTAATAATGCTCTTGACAGAGCTCATCAACGAACATTACATCTCCCCCCGACACCAGTATGTTTCAATGTATGAGGAGGAAGGAGCTTGCAAACTTGGTAAGATTGATGGAAAGATAACAAAGAAAAGGCAAAGAGATAAATACCTAGATGGCTTGCTTAATCATACAGATGGGGGTGAAAAAAAGAACACTGACCCCATTCACAATTCTGGCAACTGTGTGTCAGTGCCAAATATGACAACCTACACATATCAATACAGACCATGATCATGATGATGGCAAAACTGTATTTATAGGAAGCAGTTTAAAATTTACTCCTAATGCAGATGCTGCCATTTGTGTGTGAAGTTTCCTTTTTGACTGAATATTCTGACATAATGTAAAGTCCATGGTACTTAGGTTAACTGAAAATAAACTACTGGTCATTTCAAGTAAAATGTGCTAAATCCTTTTATAATGTGCTGAGCTATTTTAAATGACAATACTGATACAACAGTTCTACATAACAAAAGCTGTGAAGAAATTGTACCTGTCTGATGTTACTTTCACGTCTAGGACTGGCTCTCGTAAAATGATCCGAGACACTGGCATTTCTTTGCGTAAATCCCACAAAATGACTAAAGAAGACAGTTGTAACATGAAGGATTAAAATTTTTTTTAAACACCAAAAAACATAAGGATCATTTAAAACATCAACATTTTTTTAAAACCAAAAAACATATGGATTATTAAAAACATTAACATTTTTAAAAAAGACACAAACAACAGATTACACAATACATTGCATGGCATACTTTAGAATTACCCACACTCTGATACAGCAAAATATGCCATGCACTACTCTGTGAATCTATTTTTTCACTGCTCAAATTTACACAGAGGAAACATAAGTTTCATAACCTAAGGAACATGATAAACTGTGACTCCACTGGACAGGATAAAGACTACAGTTACTAAAAGGGTTTATAATTAAATTACAGTTACTAAATTTGATTCAAAAGATAAACACATGGGGATAAGGGAGAGAACATTTCACTCACATCAGGATAATTACAAAACAAACTATGCATCAATACTGATTCATGTTTTGTTATGTACAATTTGAACAAGTCATGTATGTAACAGCCCACAGATTCAAACACATGTTTAGGAGTTCTTATGAGTTCTCTCTTACTGAAGCAGACTTCTAACAAATAAGCCATCTTGTGTAGATTACTGGAACAGTGAAGATGAAGAAAAAGCATACATACAAGATGAACTAAGAGAAGAAGGAGAAAGAGAAGATGAAGAAAAACCAGATATAAAACAAACTGAAGGAGAATGAGGAGTTGGAGGAGCTGAAGCTGCCTAACACATTCTTTAAATACTATTGATTTTAGGTGAAGAGAGAAGTAGTTACAATGATACACACATTTATGGTAATGATTTCCACAGCAAACTCAAAACTATATGTAATGAATTTGCTGAAAATATTTGCTAGATTATTTTAAATGAACAATTCAAAAAAGTTAAAAAAAATGTTTGAATATCACAACATTTATGAGTGTAATGTTGGTTGTTTGCCCATTCCAAGTGATGAGAATCACTCTTTCTTTCATCCCTCATGAAACTATAGTTGATTGTCTGTGAGTACAAAGATGTTATAAGCCCAATACAGTCCCAGAAAGATCTAGAACAATGAGGGCAGGGAACACTGCCTGTAGATAAAAATGGCCTGTCACAGGGGTCTTTCTAACCTGACTTCCCTGTTAAGCACCCCTTCTTCTAGAATAAGAATGGCTTGCAAAAATAAAGGGCCTTAAGCCTCATCTCCAATTGATATGATAAGGATAAGGTACCTGGTTCAATCCTAGGTTGAGAGACAGACAGACAAGAGAACATTCTGGACTTCTTAGTTATAATGAAACACACTTAATGTTAGTAACAGTTCACAGATATTTAATCAATAAATAGGCATGTACTGATGGGCACTTAAAAAAGATAGTCACACTTGATGAAATTTATTTCTGTATGACAATTCAAGCAAATCTGAGTCCTTTTTTTCCAGTGACAACTTTAAAATATATATTTATATCAGGAATTAAAAAAGCTGCGGCATATCCCGCAAATGATGCTAAACTGATATTTGTATAGACTACAACAAATGGTCAGCGATGTGGTAAACATTAAACTGGCCACTTTTACTTCCCATATATTACCTGGTACTCATTTCAGATTAGATTAAACCTGCAGCCAAGATCAATAAAAAAAATATTGATCTGATGCAAATTCAAGCATAAGGAGTTGGGGCCAAAAGGCAAACGTTTGGTCACTATCCTATCGTGACTTTCACAGTTATCTAACATAAAATATGTGCTGTTTAAACCCACACACTTTCTGTGAATTATGACCTTTTATTCCCTGAGTGGGTTCCTGAGCCCCATTTTAGAGAAAAAAGAATAGGCCTATTGTCTCTTAACAGGCATGCTGTAAAAGAAATCTGCTGAATTCTAATGTGTTGGGCTAAAAGGAACAAAATTCACAGTCTTGCTGTAAATGACAACACAAGGTATCAGCGATTATTGTCAGGGTGAAGGCAGGAGAAGATGAAAAAGCTTGGGATCTCTCAGACAAAAAAAATAAACCTAGCTCAAACATTTACAATATTGGTACAATGTAATCTGATGACTGCACTTACATACGCACATGTGTGCTCTCTGGCAAATAATAACCAAGTTCAAACATTTACAAACATTGTTACAATGTAATCTGATGACCCTGCCTATACATACATGTATGCATGCAATACCAACAAACTACTGTACCTGTTCGGTCATCATAGATCGGTCGTGTACCTCCACTTACTATGGCCACAATATTTGACCTAAATCTCATCTCTGCACATCGTATACTTCCAATCTTCATTGCATCTATTCAATAACACCATGTTAAAACAGAACAGATTAAAACAGAAGCTGCAGAACAGAACAAAGCAATGTAAAAGAAATGGTAAAATAAACAAAACAAGTTAAAAAAAATGAATATGTATACAGTGAAACAATTTTACCAAAATTATTGAAAACTGATGTCAGAATTGCACGTGTGGGTTCTAGGGTTCCATTTTGTAGAACAAAGAATAGATCCACTACTTCCTTAATACACATGTCATTGAAGGTGACGAATTAGGGGTGATTCCTTCACAGTTAGACTGCATCTGCCTGAGAGGCAAGGAACCAATAGTTCGCATACAAATAAACCAGATCTGTAGAAGGGATGTACACCAAAACTCAAGTTCTGAACAAGACCAGTCCAGAAGTTGATGAACAACCAGAAATTTCCTTTGGAGTTTACAGCCAATGAATGAAGAACAAGAAGATGCCAGAATGATTGCCAAGTTCTATAATTCCAACTGTCACGTTTATTAGTTCATAAATGGCACATTTGTCTAAGCTGTGAGTGGTCACTCTCACTAACTAAGGATGCCCCCAAAAGTATGCAATTCTTCTGACATATATTCTTTTTCTTTTCATAGTCCATGCCATGTAGCGTTGGTAGTCAACCTCTGACTCGTGTACTTTCAATAAGTTCTGACACAGATGATCTTCCATGTCCCGATTTCAAACTGTCTAGTTTTTCTCTCTCTTTCTCTCTCTCTGTCATGATGTACTCCAGTTGTCTCCTTCTTATGACATGACCAAAGAATGTGCATTGTTTCCTTCTGATGTGGACATTCAGCTCTCTTTGTGAGTGAGTTTCTTTAAAAACAGAATGTTTCTATCCCTATAATTCACCCCAAATGACATCACAGGACAGTCAAATATTTTCACGGGTGGTAAGAGTGGGTTTGCCCACTTCCTGTGTGTCTTCCAAGTCACTGAAAAGCTTTGCCAAGATTGTGGAGCGTTTTGTCTGTTTACTTGTTTTTTCTTCCGGTGGTGTCTCTTCTTCCGGTGGTGTCTCTCTAGCAACTTGTATTCAGTCTTCATCGTCATGAATTTCCTGGAATAATCGGGAGGATGCAGTTTTTGTGGGTTCCCCGACTGTACACAGTTTTTTAATATTGAGTGCTCTATATTCCACAATGTGAGCACTTTTAACAACCCAAAACATTTACAACTAGACCTAACCCCAATCGACCCACTTGCCGCGAATGAGTGCAGCTTAGGTCCCACAAATGCATGCAGCCTAGGTCCCACAACTGCATGCAGCCTAGGTCCTCCTCCCTAGCACACAAAAACCAAGAAAACTTCTACAAAAACTACATCCTCCAGATTGCATCAACACACAGAATAATGCACACACAAAAACAGCATAAGAAGCACACAAAACTGAAGACTGCACAGCACAAAACTGCACGGCAATTGATATGCCAAATTACTAAATATAAGCTTCATCTACCACCCCCTGAAATATTAGACTGACCCATGACCTCTGGATTTCGAGTGTTTAGGGGGAAATACTGGGATAGAACCAGACATCTTTACTCTTCTACTACTTGAGGAACAGAGGAAATTGTTGCATCTTTTTGTTGACATGTAAAATTCAACTTCATCCATGAGATGGCTTGTACCAAGGCCGCAGGAGCTAGAGATGGATGTCACATTGTAGGTCGCTTTAGGAGAAAGTAAAAAAAAAAACAAATTCGAAATATTTATGGAAAGAGAGACAGAGAAGGACACCAAAATATGGCCTTTTGTGACAGTGATTTTAGAGTAGTGTGAGAACAAGTAAGAATTTAGATTTCTGAGTTTTATCAGAATACAGTGATGTTAGAGTATTGTTAAAGTACAGGCATAATATAGTAATATCAAAGTACATTCACAATACTCTGATGTCAAAGTAGTGTCAGAGTACCATCAGAGTCCATTGTTGTCTGAGTAAAGGTAAAGTCTTGAGATGTGAACCAGTGTCACTGCACACGGTTATAAACCATAAGTGCTCTGCTGCCAGTAGGGACAGCTGATAAGAAACTGTCCGTAGTTACAGCAACGTTCCTCCATTTACTCCAGAGTGTTAAACTCTGGTAGCCATTACCTAGAGGCTGGGTGAACTCCGGGAACTGACCGGTTTCGAACAACGGCCGTGGGGTGCTAATGCGGCTCCCGATGTATGAGTACTGTGTCAAAATACACTGATGACAAAGTGCTATCATAATGTGGTGGTATTTAGATACAGTGTGTCTGTGTATAAAACATTCAGTTCTGTTAAAAAAAATATCTTTCATTGATGACATGATAACTCACCAACATAGTGGGTCTGCACCAGCGGATCCATGTGAAATATGCGAAGCCCATCCTCTGTGGCACAGGCGAAGTATTCTTTTAAGGAGATTATAGAAAATATTTCATTGCTGCGGCTAACTCATTATCTTACAGAACATTTCTCAGAACAACAGATCTGGTGGGTTCTTCATAAGTGAAGTGGTCAGACTGTTTGTCCCATTTTCATGGCAAGGTGGTAGGGTGACCATAATATTGTGAACCGAAAACAGGACATCCAACTAATACTATGAACTGAAAACAGGACATCCAACTAATACTATGAACTGAAAACAGGACATCCAACTAATACTATTTTTTTTAAAAAACAGGACATCCCAAGCTAGTCAGTTAATTTCCACCCCTCCCCCACCCACAGTTCTTGAATTTCGTTTTAATCATTAAGGAACTAATATATTTTAAGAACATGAGAATATACAGGCCTATAATTAATATTAATAAATACTGATTAATTAATATTAAAACTTGTTTCTGTAATTGGACTGCATGGCTTGTGGATATTCTTGTGAAGAAATGGTTTTTAAATAGAAATTATGACATATTTTCTCATTAGCCGGCAACATACTGAAATCATTAAAAGTACATAAAACTATGAAATCTAATAAAGTCTACAGATAAAACTATAAGTGTATGTTCTATTCTCAAGCTTATTCCTAGATATAGTTTTGAGGGAAATTTAAGAGAATGCAGGAATAAGAGTTGGAGGATAGTTTTGACAGCTGAAAATGCAACTAATTTACAACAACTGCTAGATATTGGTGGGGCGGAGAGTGCTAAGAAAAGACTTTCATTGAATATTAAGGAAACGGAAGTATTAGTTACATCAAAGAAGAAGATAACTCCACGTTGTGATATGTCAGTTGAAGGAAAAAAACTTAACCAAGTCAATAAATTCAAATATCTGGGAACAACCATATTGTCAGATGGAAAATGTGTGACATAGATTAAAAGCAGACTAGGTCAAGCAAAAGCTGCATTTCAGAAAATGAAAAATATCTTATGCAATAAATCGCTCTCATTTAATGTCAGAAAGAGGGTGCTAAAATGTTACATAGAACCTGTTCTGCTGTATGGCAGCAAATCTTGAAATGTCACTGAACAAATTAAGAAGATTTTGGAAGCAACAGAGATGTGGTTTCTGAGAAAATGTTATGAATACCTTGGACAGCCAGAGTAACTAACAACTGCTTGAAAGAAGCGAATGAAAGTAGATCTCTATATACAACAATAGGAAAGAGACAAACACTGTTCTTTGGCCACATAATGAGAAGAGAGACATTGGAGAACATCGTGACAACTGGAAAGATCACTGGAAAAAAGGGGTAAAAGCAGACCAAGAGAGAGATGATGCTGGATGGGCTGAAACAATGGCATGGAGGGATATCATCAAGAGAGCTGTTCCAGGCAACCAGGGATCGTGATCTGTGGAGACGCATGAGTGCCTACGTCACTTGGCAGGGCACATGATGATGATGATTCTTATAATTGTTAAAAAAACGAAACAATTTATGTCTTTTTTTTTGGAGTAGTTGTGGGATGGCCATGACATGCCAATTGGGACAGTCCTAGTGAAAACCACAATGGAACCCTACTGTCCGGAAAAAGGGAAAAATTTAAACAAAAAAAATACACTTATTATTAAAAATACTTATTCCACAATACAGAAGTGAAGAAGTCAAATTTCTTATAGTTTTAAAGAGTCCTTCCTCTTCAGCTTTGTGAATTATCATAAGTGTCCTGGCTTGAGATCCAGGGAAACCCCCCCCCCCCCTCCTCCACCAATTATTATCTCATCTGATTGTATCCACATTCAACCAACATAATGTCTCATCTAAAGGTCTGGCTTTTTTTATGCCGAAAAGAGGGTGGCTGTGCCAAGATTGTTTATATCTGCTGTCTGATCATATATCTCTGTCTCTCTGACCACAACAAACCGTTGCCCGAGTTCTTCAGGTTTGACAGATGACATCCAGATGATGTAGAAACCCATTGATTGTAAAGAGTGGAGCTGAATGCACAGTTACAAAACAGAGAAGAGACTAAACTGACTGAGCAGTGCAGAAACAAAGGCAAGCGTGCGTAGTAGCCTAACCTTGGTCCTGGTTCAGTTTGACACTAAGCACGCCTCTCCAGGCCATCATGTCCATAACCTCCGCAACTCTGGCAATCACGGAGAAACACCATTCACCTGGCAAGGATGACAAGGACTTAACAATGAAATAAGGCAGAAGTTTATAACAATGGTTTTGTTTGAATTTTACAACAGTAACAACATTTTTCTTCTTTCTCCTTAGGTTTCATCGGTTGTCAACTCTGGCAGAAGGTTCTACTTGCTCGTTGACTTCTTGAATTTGGTCTTGTTCCAGAACTTGAGGATTTCTGGCATTACTGTTTTACTGATCTGGACTATTTGTATGCAGAATGTTGTTTCCACACTACTCAGGCATCTGAACTTTGACTTTGAAAGAAACATCTTCATTAGTTGCCTATTAGTTGTTATTTTAGTTTATTACCCCCCCCCCCCCCCCCCCAAAAAAAAAACCAGGGAAATTAAAACGGTCTGAATTCTACAATAATAATAAAAGTTTAATCTCTCAAAAAACATTTAGGTTAGAGACAAACTCCTTTTGATAGCAACAACATCCTAACAGCAATTAGAGAAGAGGAGCACCTACAATTAGAGAAGAGGAGCTCCAACAATTAGAAAAAAGGAGCACCAACAATTAGAGAAGAGGAGCACCAACAATTAGAGAAGAGGAGCAAAAACATAGTCATTTAATTTGAAGTGGCTTAACACTATCATAGCAATGGGAGGAACACTCATATTATCATAACAAATAATGGAGCACTAACATTGTTATAATAATTAAAGGATGCACTAACAACAATATGAGGCAGAGATAAATAAAATGGTGCAGACATGGGGCTAGTAGCACGGTGTGCCAAAGGATATGAATTTTTGGCAGCAGTTGGTTGAGGGACTGTACTCCATGGATAAAGTGCGGAAGCAGAAGCATTTTGAGAATGTGCATAGTTATTGTGGCAAGCAGTGAATGTAAAATATGGACCATTTTACAGTCAAGACTTTTGAACTCAAACTTTGTTATACTTCATGCTCACTAGGTTTTTATAATAACTGCACAGCAGTGACCTACATTTTATATCAGCTGGACAGCTGGAACTTTCTTAATATTCTGCAAATCAAAAAAGAGAAGAAATTACTGATATTTTACAAGGTATGAACCCTGAAGAACTCTAGCTCATAAACCACATCATGTCTTGTAAACATGAATATTCTGGCCACATTAAATATGGCAGTGTCTTAGAAAGAACAGTAATGGTACATAAGTATCAAGGCTTGCCTGCTTGTGTACCCCACCAGATCATCAAACAAGCGATAAACACTCGGTGGCACAAAGTGCCACCATGCAGATGAGGAACACCAGTGTTCAACCGGTATTGCTACAATTGTGGCCAGGCTATATTCAGGGCCCCCAGCAAAAGCCAGCGTGGGGCTTCAACAAACAAAAATTGCATCCCACAAGGGGACGACTTGGTAAATGAAGTATCCCAGACTAAGGGACAGCTTTTGACCAGCCACCATGGAGGTGGACACAACATGCAAGACACTTTGTGCAAAAAAATACATCAGGTGGGAAGAACTATAAATTACTGAATCACTGATAGTATTCCCATCAGGCTGTGATGAGAGTGATGTTCTACAAAGGTAAAGTAACAAACTACTGATGAGTATCTTCACTTATGAACTAAAATCTAACGGTGGATTATAGATGGGCACTACCTAACTGCAGAACTCCCTGTTGTCAGTGAATATTATAACCATAAGCCGCCACTGCTTCAATGCCATAAATGAGATAATAATCAACATACTACAGCAATCAGTGCCTTTCAGTACTATAACTTAGTCCTGTTATTTCTGTTTCAAACATAAAGAGAAAAATAACTTGTCTAAAGAGTCTTAATCTGCTAACAAGTGTGACCAAACATGATATCAGTAGGAAGAATCAAACAGGTCACCTACAGGAACAGCCACTTTATAACTACAACATCTAACTTAACGTTTCACTAACTTTTACTACAAGAGACTGAACACTTCTGGGCATAAAAAACCTACCTTTTTAAAATGAAAGAATTTTAGTAAAATTATTGATGCCGAAAATATACCCTAACAGGGCCTCAGTCACGTGTTAATCTGAGGGCTTCCGATGACTACCGCCACCACTGAGAGTATCTCCCACGCCGCTACGCCTGGCATGGAGCGGGGCTAAACTAGATAGCTGGGACTCACGAGCAAATAAAATGAAGGAAGCTGCAGGAGATGCGGTAGCTGCTGCTCATGAGTCCCAGCCGTCTAGTTTAGCCCTGCCCCACTCTGCACGTAGCGGCGTGGGAGATACTCTCTGCGGTGGCGGTAGTCGCCAGAAGTCCACAGTTTAAGTCGCTGGAAGTCAACAATTTACATGTGACTGAGGTCCTGTTAGGGTATATTTTTGGCCTCGATAATTTGGGACTGTTATTCAGAGGATAGCCAAATTATCTAACCATTCATCGTACAATTTCTATCCTAATAAGAACCCCAAAATGTGTGAACAAGACAATTTGTCAAATAATAATAAAAATTACCTACATTCATAAATATATAATTACACAATTGTCTTATACTTATACATATATAGTCTGAGAACCTAATTAACACTTTATATTCCAATTGTAATAATTATAACCCACCCCAAAGATTAAACATATATATATTATTACCTACTACTTAGCTTACAACTACCACTGACTGTTGGGTTGGTGTTCTGATTGCAACAAACACATATTGTTTTAGCTTAGCACTACCAAATTCTGAATCGCAAGATTTAAAAAAAAGTTCACCGTTACAGACAAGGAAATATTAGCAACAAAATGATAGCAAATCAAACAGAAATGCCAATCAGTTCAACGAGACTGGAGCACTAAAGTAAAAGATCAGCTGGGTTCATGACTCCACACCACTGGCTGTGTATAGTGTATGACACAGTTCTGTACGTAATCCTAATCGCAGTAAAGTCACTAGATTTGACAAACTGGAGCCAAATCCGCAATATTTAGTCACATTTATACCCACAGACGGTTGATTCGGATATATGGTAATAGTGTGTGGCTACTTACCCAGGTAGGATTGTTTTGGAGGAGAGAAACAAGAAGCAGAAAGTGACAGTACATCTCCCCCCGACTCCCATACGTTCTTTTGTTGTTTTCGGTAAATAAACAAAGTCACGTGACCCGAGTCTGCCAGCTGGCACTTGGAATGCAATCTGCGGCCAAAATATGAATCTTTTTCTTTTTTCATTGCTCAGAAATATGAAATAAATGTTTTTGGATTATGTATCTTACTGTTGTCTATTGCATGAGGTATCTTTTTGTTCACACACTGCTCATTGAAGCTTAACTTTCAATCTTGTTTGGTTATGTTGAATGGTTTGTAGCAAGTAGTCATATTCGTTTATTCGTAGTAGTCAAGGAATATGCACTCTGTAAAGTTTTGTTTTCTCTCTCTCTCTCTCTATCTCTCTCTCTCTCTCTCTCTCTCTCTCTCTCACACACACACACACACACACACACGCACACTCAATAGCTGTATTTAAATGTTAACACATATCCCAACCCTCCCCCCACACACACACACACACAGACACACACACATATAAATATATATATATATATATATATATATATATATATATATATATATATATATATATATATATATATATATATATGGTAGCAAATGTCATAATCTTACAATATGACTGACTGAGACAGTGCAATGAATATGCTTATCGTCTGGAAAAACGAAAAGGTGTTAATCATCATTTAACAGTTCATTATCAAATCATTGACATACCGTGCTATATATACATCGAGTATACTATTGTTGACAACTTTTAAGATGGAGAGTTCGGCTTAAAGCTGTCTTCCTTTCTGTTGTCCAGATGTTGACACCTGTTTCTTTTTCATTGATTTTTGCTTTTTCAACTGATGTCTGTGAATATTCTATACTGCTTTAGCAAAATTTATCCCAAAGCTGAAAAGGAAATTAGGTAAGCTGAGACCAAGATATTAGAACTAAATTTGGCATTAAGGTTTAAGGTCTCATCTGTATCAGAAATAATGGGCAATGTATGAAACATCCAGTGGTGGACGAGTTTAACGAATAGAAGTAAAAACGTGAAAATAGCCTGTTTAACTGTTCTGTCTAAATCTGAGAGTTATAGTGGTGTATTTCTTTTTTCTTTTTCAGGTAATACTATTTATGTATTCTAATTTATTATATGAGATATTTGAGGTAGTTTGAGTTGAGAACCGAAATCACAGAACTCAAGACATTTCCACAAGAGGTCCGTCCCCATGTTTAGCAGCCAACGCAGAGTTCCAATTCCGATGGGCCGGCAGCAATATGGTTGTATGCCATACTTGCCTTTTCCCTAGGTGTCACTCACAGCTAATCAATTCTCTTGAGACCCGTGGGGATCTATTTAGCAAATCTTTAATACAGAATTTATTTTATAATTATTACTTTACAGTCATATATGAGTTGAACTGAGTTTCGAGAACCGACGTTACAGCACTCGGGACACTCCCAGTTGTACTTCGCCCATTCTCTAACAGCTGACAAAGATTTATAGCTTCGATGGTACCAGCAGCCGTCTGATTGAATGTCAGCCTTGTCTTTCCTCTGAGTGTGGAGTGTTGGCCAGATCCCCTGATCACTCCGTGTTGCACCCTTTTCTTCCAAACAGATATCTTGTCAATAATCCACCTATACTGGACAACAGATAGTTTCGAGGCCATTTTGTTTTGCCATAAAATAACTGTGCTTCATAACTGAGTGAGATTTCAGGGATTTTCTTATTTTTGATTCTTATCATTAATATGTTGCGGGAAAAGGGTTTGGGGGGGGGGGGTGTTCTTGATTTGCCCTGTTTTTTCAAGAGGATCTGAGCACGACCGTTCCACTCGAACACGTCCAATGGCTAGGATGTGTGCATGTTACAACAGAAATGGTTGGGAGTTCGTGTCACTCAAACTTGTGCCTGAACAAAGATAATAGTTTGCACATACATTGTTTTAAAGTTTAAGATAGATTATTTTGCACACAATCAATAGAGCTAACCATGTGGT